TTTTATTATTTAAAAGTATAAGCGTATATAAATCCAGTAAAGATTCTATGAAGTGTTTAATAAAGTACCTTTTCAATAATTGCACGCCCACTTCAGCAGGGGAATCAGCAGGGGAACTCAATAATTTTCATAAAAGCGCAATTCTGGGTAGTGTTATAGTCACGTTTTTAATTTGTTAATATTATATTTTTGAATAATGATGAGAAAGACGAAAGAATGAGATGATTTGACGGAATAATTATAAAGTGATATGCCACAATAACAAAATTATTTGATTTAAATTTTTAAAAAATTTATATATTAATGACATGACTTACCATGTTATTTATCTCATGATTTTGTTTTTTTTTTGTTCACTGTATTATTGCATTATATTTTTTGAATGTAATTATTTATTATATTTTGATATTATATTTTATCTTGATATTTTATAAATTTTTATTTTTTAATAAATTAAAAAATATAATAATTAATTAAAATAAAAATATATATAATATTAATAATTAAGAATACGAACAATACCATCACTTCCCGATCATGTCACTTCCCGATCATGAGAGTTGGATTAGTTTTTGGGTCTGTTCTTAAGAGCTATACGTACAGTGAACTGAGCCGGCCTTCTGAATCCTAAAAAGTCCTTAATTAGATAGAGTTTTTGATTTAAAGGTTAAAAAATCACATTTAAATAGAACTCCGGGGGGTTACCGATGCCAACCCCGACGACGAAAGGTAATTTTACCACATGCACCGGCGGCGCAGCGGCGGAAAGTCATGGTAAGTGACGGAGAGTGTTCTTCACGCTCCTATGGAGCGAGTGGGTTGGGAATATCGAGTGGACTCAGATTCTCTCAATGATTTCTAAAGTCGAATAAAATTTGTTTTTTCTTATGTTATATTTTAAGAACACGAAATAATAGTATATTTATTTTATATTTATTATTAATTTTATATTAATTTATATAAAAAATAAAAAATTAATGTTAATTTTAATATTTATAATATGTAAATATTTTTTATTAAATAATTAATAAAATGAATATCAATTTTTAATTTTATTATATATTTTAATAAATAATAATAATAAATGCATTCTTACACTTTAAGAAAAACCCCCCCAAAAAAAAAGATTTTCCTTCCTTATTTATTCGTCGATTGTTATTATTTTTCATCAAAATCTTCACTTTGTTCTCTGACTTTCGGTATTCTTTTTCTTTTTTCTTTTTAAACTCGTCATCTCCTTCAACTTGAGTGGCTATTTGCAGCAAACTTTATTTGGAAACTTTTTTTTTTATTAAAAAAGTGATTAATATAATACTAAAGTAAAAGTTAAACAATATTGTATAAAAAATTAATAAATTTATTAAC